GTAACTGCCCGTAGACGTGTTTATTCCCGTAGAAGTCGCTACGGACGTTGACCACGAGACGACTAAGCATCTCTCAGCTGTCATGTAACTTTAGAATAGACTAGTATGGAGATGGAAATTTTGTCAAATAGAACAATTAGAAATAGTTACACATTTATAGATACAACACACGTAAAAGAAGAAGAAGAAAATGAAGGGGGGAAAACATGTAAGATCGGCAATTCCGAATTAAGCAGGATAAGTGTCACTGCAGCTCGCTCCCAAGCAAGCAAGAGTAACTGAATCTGCTTAGTTCAGGTTAGATAGATAAAATACCGGGCGGCCGTGTTAGATGAATGAACAATAGATACTAAAGAGATATCCTTTGTTAAAGTTCCTCCAGGGTGGCCGCTGTGACGTAACTTGAAATTACGAATACGAAGAATAACACACTTAGTGAAGTAAAAACATTTGTTAGGTTGTCACATAGCAGTTCTCACGGTGATTCGTTTGGGTGAAGAAAATCATGTTTGAATTCGCCAGGAACAGTGTCTGTGAGAAAGGGTAGTTATGTTGTTTCAGTGTTTTAGGCGCAAATATTCTCTCCACACATGAATTATACATAGTGCAGAATAGCTGTTGTAGTTGGTCTTCACAAAGGAAACATCTCAAAGGCAGCTCAGGCATGAATCCTTTGTTTGTTTATTTGTTTGGGAGTTTGTTCATGTAAGAAAAGGTTAAAAAATAACTATATCTTGTACATGGAATTGACTATAATGTTATCATGCTGTGACAGTTTTATAATAAAGCTTTTTTCCCCAAATTTCGCCAGTCTTTTAGATGTTGTTTCGCAAAAAAATATATTCTATATAATGTAATTATCCAAAATGTTAAAACGATCCATGACCCAAACACCATCAAATTGCAAATTGCACAGGCAGCCCAACAATATCATATAGTGTCGATCCTACTCAAATTCCCTAGTTTCGGCGATGCAGTTACTTCTGTGTGTTTTCCCCGAGGGTTTAATTATATGCATGTATAGTTTCGAAGCAAACTTAAGGGCATTACAATTCATAGGATTAGAGTACTTTATATTAAATTGAACAATAATAATAATCCATGCGTTATGTAAAATAACATCAAACACGACCATCCAAATCTACCAAGCAAGGCGAATGCATCCGTGATCATCAAGGATGATCACCCAACAACAAGAGTGAAACGCCGTCTATAATCCAGCCAGCTTTGTTTTTTTCAGGGTTTTTTGATGCCTAGCTTTTAAACTGTTAAAACTTCAATTACTCAATCGTTTATTCCCAATAGGGCATTTACCATTGTTAGGATAATGCTTGTGTGACCAAGCGGTTTCCAACATTGAACATCAAAGAAGAAAACAAATTAGAAAAGCCTGAAAGGCATTTTAATTGGCATAGAAGTCCATGATCTGCTCCGGAGTTTCGGATATCGAACTCTATTAAACGGCCATAAACCACCAAAAACGAAAATGTTAGATTCAATTTTTTCCGAAATTTTAAATGGCGCTTTGTTTCAAGTTCAGTTCGCAATATGCTTTACTTATTTTTATTTTACAGCTGCCTGCATTATACCTACGAATGCTGCGTGCCTCAGTAATTATCTATAGTATTGTATGGCTTRCTAACTCCAATTTACATTTRTATTGTTCTCTTTTGTCAAGGGAAACACAAGTTTTAGTCACTAAACTWTATAAAAGAATACATTTCACGTCACCGAGAAGCGAGCTGATTGGTAGAAACTCGATCTTAAAAGGTCTACGGACTCTCTTGGGCCTTATTTTAGCGAAGTATCTACCTCGGAGGTGCTGATCTTTAGAGCTGAGTGTGCGTATATGGTAAGCAAACTYACTTTAATTGTCAATATTAGATTTCATTGGCCTTGGATATGACCACTTTACAATTGCAATTCAATCTTTACTGACTGATAAAACAGGTCTCAACTCGGCTCGTATACTGTAACTAGGATTCATGAGTAGCGACGCGCGTCACATGTTTTTGTTTGCACAACTGGTACTCAAAGAGTCAGCTTATATCCCTTCTAACATTTCTAAGTTCTACAATTTGGTCAAAGCAAAATCTACAATTCGTCGTTTATAGGAACAGCTATCTGTAATAAAGGCTTCAGTAGTGAAATAATTTGTTAATTTGTAATATAATGTTTTTATGCTTGTTGTTGGAATCCTAAAATTGTTTTATGAGTTCAAAAATATGAAACTAAATTGTCAGTAGATATAGAGAATGTGAAATTTCACGAGGTTGCATTAGCACCTTCTTGGCAGGGCGTTGGTCAGATTTAGTAAACTGACTGGTAAAAAAGTGCTTTTAGCCCCATCGACCAAATATGCTGTTAAACAACAAATTGAAATGTCGTTTTTTAATCCCAGTGTTTCTTTGAGTATTTAGATTAATTAAGAAAATAATAATAATCCTGAAATTTCATGACCGAAATTCAAGCGGTTTTGTTACGGTCTTTTGACTCTTGGACATTATTTGCACCGCGCGACCTAACATGTCCTAAATCCCAGATTTTCTCGATTTCTCTCTGAACAACACTTACATAAATATGCAATATGCTGCTTAATTTTAGTGAATGCATCGCTTTTCAGCTTTTGCAGAATYATTATCTCTATAATCTTATTATTGTTGAAAACATAATAATAACTTATTCCTTTGTTTCTTACATATATTTATGCAATGCTTTTGCTTTGTACTGTWGACATAATAGARTATACTAGCGATTTTTATCAAAAGTAAGTGCTGCGATGCTTGAGAAAGACAATATCGTGTATGAAAAGCTTTTATCATTGGTTTGTACATCCGCCGACCGGTTAGCTCAGTAGGTAGAGCATCGGACTTTAGTGCGGGATATCGGCGCTATATAAATACCACATATTATTATTATTATTTATTAAGAAGAGAGCTGTGGGAATGTGCAGAGTCCTTGYAGCGAAGATGAATGCCTGATTTTAAAAGTGTTTATTGATATTAAAGAAATAACTAAACAACATAAATACATAGTATAAATTTGTTTTGATAGTTTGCTTTTTGTTAGTCATTTGTTCTGATCTGATATAGTACTCGATTCTAAGACTTAAATTGATACATCTTTATCAATGATAATTTGCTTTAACTTAAACTTGTATATATATATCTTCTGATATTATGATAATATGAAACTCGATCAGGCACATACACGTAGCTAGTTCAAAGAGTATAAATCGTCTCTTCCTCGGGTAGGTCGAGTGGTCTTCAAAAGACATCTCCTTAGAATTTATTCGATGATCTGAGAATTCCATGTCGAATCGAACGTGACCCACAACAATGCTGAAAGACTTATTCACCTACTTTTTTACGGTGTTTAATTTATCTTTTTATACAACTGTCTCTTTTGAAACACCGACGCAGCTAACACTAGTTTACCACTAGTTCCACCATTTCGACTGACTCTCAGTTTAGTACAGTCTATCCATCGATCGCGTATAACAGTTGTCAACAGTTGAACGATACTAATAAAACTGGCTGTGATCACTGAACATTATTAAGATCCTGTTTACATGAGATAGGGTGCCTCTAGGTCGAGTGGCAGGGCCAAAATCCTCCAGGGAGAAGAAAACAAAAGTGTTGACCCTATACACGTAGGGGCACCCATCTCATGTAAACAGGATCTAAGTTTTAGGATGATATTTTCTAACCTTTACCCTCAAATGAGCCATTTCTTGATAAAAKTACGTCGCAATTGTCTGTTAATGAAGTTATTCATTTTTAATTTCTATTCCGCTTTTGTTGACAGCTAAAATGAGGACTCTTTTAGTGGTTGGGATCGTCATCGTGTTGATATGTATGTTTGTCGATGGCTTTGAGAATGAATTAGCAGAGAAAACGAACAATGTTGCTGCTGACTTGAAGGAAGAAGAAAAAGACTTGGAGAAGACTGGAAAAACGACGCAGCTAAGGTAGTTTKCAACTCAAATTGGTCCAAATTAAAACACCTATATAAAAAAAATTAAGCGGCAATCGTCGAACAGAACCAATGGATTGACGGTAGATCTGTCGAAAGTGTAAAATGTCATTCAAAGTTTGAGTTAATGAATTTATCTGACTTAAATATTTCGTTGTAGTGACGACGATGTTGCCGAGATCGAAGGAATGAATGAGCAAGATCCARAAAACAACAACAATAACAWCAACATTAATTTTCGTCGAGAAATAGAAAATGATCCCGCAAACATTAACAACAACAACGACAAAAACAACTTTGCTAGTAATTTATTTGATAGTGCTCGCACTCGCACTCGCACTCGCCGTCGCCGTCGCCGTCGACGTCGCCGTCGACGTCGGCGCAGTAGTTAAGTTATTGCATTAGTCATGCATTAGATATTTTCTGCATATGTATTTTATTGAAAAATACACTACTCGCGACTCAGGAGCCTGTCAACTGTAATAGCTATTCCCTTAGCATGGATTAAAGATTCTCTTTTTGGCACTACTTCTCAACTTTTGTAGATTAAATCTGGGTATTTCGTGATAAACAACATATCCCAGGGTCATTTTAATCTCTTCGACACTTAATTAGTGCAACATAGTATCTTTTCAAAGTTTTTGGTAGATTTTTTTCAGAATGTTCATGGTTATTTTCCTTCTTTTTTCTAGAATGAACGCCCTTAATACGTGAGATTTTATTAGTATCCAATTTTATTCAACTTTGTGCAATGSTAATTGAAAGGATGTTCATGTCTGCTTCTCAGTGACTTACACTGATTAGTGCACGATCTGCAGTCTAGTCCTAGGCGTTCTATACTCTGGGCTGGGGAGTCCTGGGAGTCCCGACAAAAGGGTAGGCTGCGAAGGAGACTATGTGTAGCAGTTGCTTCTATGCGTTTTTMCCCCGAGGGTTTAGTGCATGTTTAGTTTACGAAGCGGACTATATGGTAGAGCAAACGCATGAAAACCAACAAATAGCGGCTATTTAGAGACAAATTGTCAATATCAATGAACCAGAACGCAATAAAGATGAATGAAAAATGGTCTCATGTGTATTAAACTTCATTGTGTTATGGTTCATTGATACTGACAAATTGTCTCTAAATAGCCGCTATTTGTTAGTATTTAGTTTGATTTTATTTCATGGTTTTCATGCGTTTGCTCTATATGGTATTACTATTCATAGGATTAGAGTCTTTCAATTAAATCTAACAATAACCATAACCCATGCGTTCTGCATTCTAGTGAAATCTTCCTAATCAAACATTTTCAATAAACAAAAACTCAACCATCCAAATCTACCAAGTAAGGTGAATGCATCCGTGTTGTAAAAAATACAGATCACCCAACAACAAGAGTGAAACGCCGTTTAATAATCGGCCAGAAAACTGTATCTAGTCAGACTTTTTTTTTTTTTTTTATGACTGGCTTTTAAACTTTTAAATTAACTTCGATCGATTACTCTTCAATTATTTATTCCCAGTAAGGCATCCATTATTAGATTGTTTATGCTTGTATGGCCAAGCGGTTTTCAAAGAAGAGAACAAATTAAAGAAAGGCGGAATGGCATTTTATTTATTTGATCTGCCGGCATCGCATATGATATCGAGCTCTACAGTCAGGTCAAACGACAATNTCACCAAGAAGCCAGCTGATTGGTAGAAACTCGCTCTTAAAAGGCCCACCGAATCTCTTGGCTCTCCTATCGAAGTATCTGCGTCTTGAGGTGCTGATCTCTAGAGCTTATAACGCGGATKAACGGTAAGTAAGCTCAGTTTGTCAATGTTAGATTTAGTTGGTCTTGAATATAACCATTTTACAAATGCAATTCAAATTTTATAGGTAACACTATGTCTCCACTCCGCTTGTATATATACTGTAACTGGGATTCTTGAGTAGCGACGCGCGTCACTTGTTCAGTTCTGTTTGCACTGGCGCTCAAATACTCACGTGATAACATTTCTTAAGTCCTACAATTTAGTTTTGGGCAATGCAAAAACTGCAAGCGAGTATTTCGCTAGGTTATGGGGACACATGAGTAAAAGGATTTATCGTTAGAATAAACTCGGTGAAACTCGGGTAATGACAACATCAGTGATTACTTTGGCCGAACTGGAACTACTATAACAGGTTTTAGGGAAGCAGTTAAGTCATTTGAATTGCATTGAGTTTGTATGTCAGTTGTTATTGGGAGTTCGATATTTCATGATGTTATATTAGCCAGGGTAGGGCGTTGCCAGATTTTAATAGTAAACTAACTGGCTCAAAAGAAAATGCTTTTGTTATAAAATCCCATCAAATATGAGCCATACGACAAAAAAATGGATATTTCATATTTGATCTCATTTGATTTCAATGAATATTTGATTAAAAATGAAACATAATTTTAAAATTCGAGCTCTTTTCCTACGCTCTTTGGAAGACTTTTGCACGGCACGTCCCAAATCCCAGCTCTTACGTCCCAATTATTTCTTTGAACAAAGTCATTTATTTCTAATTGCTATTTGTTGACAGCTAAAATGAGGACTCTTTTAGTGGTTGGGATCGTCATCGTGTTGATATGCATGTTTGTCGATGGATTTGAGAATGAATTAGCAGAGAAAACGAACAATGTTGCTGCTGAGTTGAAGGAAGAAGAAAAAGACTTGGAGAAGACTGGAACAACGACGCAGCTAAGGTAGTTTGCGACTAAAATTAAATGAAGAATATTTTTGTATACACCTACTTAAAAAAAATGAATGAACAATTGTTACCATGCTAACGCCAATTGTCGAACAGAGATCAGCAATATCGATAGGAACTATACCTTCATTGTTTGACATGCTTGTTGGATTGATCTTGTATGGAAACGGAGGCTAAGTAGAGTAGAGCCAATTTACATGTATAAATGGCATTATCACATCAAGTAGCAAACCCAGGGCTCTCGTTCGTGCAACCTCCGTTCGACAATTATCCAACAATCGTTTTCACTAATAGGTTTTGATTTAAACCTTCAGATAGAAAGAAAAGTAAATGTTTTTTGAGGGTTTTTTTCACGAAATTTCACAACTATGCATGTAGATCATTTTTTATGATGTCTTTTTTGTCTATAGTATTAGTTGAATTTTCGTCTTTGAGTTAATGAGTTCAGTTCAAACCAATGACTTTTGTTATAGTGAAGGGGACGTTGCCGAGATCGAAGGAATGACTGAGCAAGATCCAGAAAACAACAACAACATTAATTTTCGTCGAGAAATAGAGAATGATCCCGCAAACAATAACAACAACGACAACGACAGTTTTAGCAGTCGCCGGCGCCGTCGCCGCATAACAAGTCGTCGTCGCAGGAGTTCATGGAGTAATGCTCGTCGTCGTCGTCGTCGTCGCCGCCGTCTATCCTATGTTCGACGCCGTTATTATGTTCGACGTCGCTACGTTCGTCGTCGTAATTCTTGGAATCGTCGTCGTAGCGTCGGCCTCAATGATGGAGTTTAGTTATTGGATTAGTCATGCATTTTGATATTTTTTGCATATGTATTAGATGTATTACTCACGCACAAGCACTACTCGACTGTTATCTACTTCTCCC